TTAGATCAACGATCAGATTTATTCTCCAGTAAATACAATAGCGATCACTACTTTTATCTTAAGATAGACATACGCGTTATAGATGTATTACTACACTATATGGGTACGACTGGCCCTCGAGCCGATTTTCCGTCCGAGCTGGGTGTAATTTGTTACGAAGACGATACATTGGTAACAGCCCGGGGGGTAAACTTTCAAGAGGCGGCACGCCTAGCCACCAGGGGAGTCTCTCTGGTGGTCGGGCGCATTGAGGCGCTGGGCTTACGGGTGGCCCTGGATAAGACGGAGGCCCTCTTATTCCACGGGCCCCGTCGCCTCAATCATGGTCAACTCGGTCCTCGTACCGGTTCAGGCCCAGATGAAATATCTGTGCCTCATCCTCGACGGGAGGTCCTTCGACGAGCACTACCGACAGCTTGCTCCAAAGCTGGTCGGTGCTGCGTCTGCCCTTGGGCGACTTTTACCCAATTTGGGTGGTCCCAGCGTCACAACGAGACTTCTGTACACGGGGGTTGTGCGGTCAATGGCACTGTACGGTGCACCGGTGTGGGCGGTGGTTCTGACCGTTAGAATAGGGCACGCCTCTGGCGCTCTCAGAGGATATTAGCGGTTAGAGCCATACGCGGTTACCGCACCGTTTCGACGGAGGCGGCGTGCGCATTGGCCGGTACTCCCCCGTGGGATTTGGAGGCGGAAGTGTTCGCCGAAGTTTATCGGCGGACGGCGGAGTTCCGGGCGGATAGTGGCAGTCGGCCCCCGCCCGAACTCCGCCGTCTCTCACGCGAGTGGCGTGAGGCCGCTCGACGAGCCACGATGGCTCGTTGCTCTTTGGGGGCTCCACGTGCTGGCTTCGCCACCGTGGAGGCGCTTAAGCCGGTTATCGTCGAGTGGGCAGGGCGGCAGCACGAGATTTTCTTCCTTTCCTTCCGACTGACTGCACTCGGTCGCTAGGAGGGAATTGAGTCCCGCCTGTCATCACTGCGACTGCAATGAGGACTCGGCTCAGCACACGCTGGCAATTTGCCCGGCTTGGGCGCCGCAGTGCCGGGTAGTCATTGCAGTCATCGGGGGGATCTCTCGCTACCGGCCGTCATACGCTCCATGGCCGGTAGTGACAGATGTTTCACCGAGGCGGAGAGAGCCCGGAAGGATGACCTCCACTCGGACCCAATTCGTCGCCCGCGAACCGGGCGGCGGAGGCACGCTTACCACCGCCTCATGCCGCCCTGAGTGTGGCCGCGGGTGGACGGGACGGGTTTTCCCCTCCACCCGCCATAACGGCCAGTCAGCCAGAGGCTACGTCTGCGTGTGCCGGACGTCGCCTAAATAGTGAATGTACCCGAAGGTGGTGCCCGCGCTGTTGCGGGCAAGCGGTAGGAGGGGTCCGGATGTCTTAATAGCAAACCCCAGTGGGGTGACGGCCCGAGGGGGTTTCCACACGCAAAAAAAAAGGCATCAGTCTCCCATAATATATACTATTACAATATAATATTACCTGAATTATGTATAGTTATTAAGTAATTGCTCGTTGAAAATTGTGTATTGTAGTGAGAAAGTAAATTACATTATTATTATTATTATGTCTTCTTCTATAGCATATTTTATCTGATTTTCTCTCTTGGCGTCAAACATCTTCAACCAGGAAGGCCCGCACCACCATAAAGTGTGATCCTTTAACTGAGATACGGTTAATCCTGTGTTTGCACAATCAGCAGGATTTTCATGTGACTTAACATGCCGCCAACAATGTGATGGCATAACCTCCGTAATTTGCTTCATTCTATTTGCTACAAACAACTTCCACCGGCTAGGCTCACCAGGAAGCTACCCCAGTACCGCCGTGGAATCGCACCATCCAAAGGTACTCGTACTTATGTTGTAACCGGCTAAGTAGTGTTTACCTTTGCCATTAGCTTGGCAAGTAGTTCTGCCCCACACAACTCCAACCGGGGTAGTGGCATTTGTCTGCCGGTAGGGACTAGTTTAGATTTCCCGGTAACCAAAATCATTGATTTTTCTAAATTTTTTACGCTTCAGTTTATAACACGGGCATACGATTTTGTTGAGGCATCACAAAACCCATGTAATTCGACCTCACTTGTTGATTGAGTACCGTACCATCGCGGTATGTTAAACTGATTGATATTTTCTAGATCAGTTTTGAGCTTTGTCCACTCCTTACTAATATTTTCTGAAACCTGTTTGTCCCATAGAATTTTTAATAACCATGTTTGTTGAAAGAGTATTTTTTGTTTTGTATAGGTACAGTCCATCCTAGTGGGTCAAATACCTTTGCCATGTCGAAGAATATACTCCTTTTAGTAATCTTTGATTTTTGTGAATTTGGAGAACATGTAAAATTGTCTTCAGTGGGATTTCAACAGAGACCTAAGGTTTTAGTTGAGCCTACTTGTTTAAAGATCAAACCTTCCTGATCCCGTTTATTTTGATTTTGTTATTGTAGTAATTGGCTATCGTTTGAGGTCCATTTTCGTAAATTAAAGCCTCCAAATTTGAATAAATTGCAGATGGTACAGAGTGGCTACCGTGAACGGCGTCATCCACATAAAATTACTTCTAGATGAGCTTGAAGTTTTACGATCGGAGCCATCCTTCTTGAAATTTGTGTAAATCTGTTCTATCGCGCCGAGTAGCTGGTGCTGATTTGCTAGAATGTCCTCGAATAAGATAAATCGAAAGATCTTACTTGAAATTACACACAGAGAGCCTTGTTGCTCACCAATAGGAGATCCTTGTTGATCCTTGATGATTGCTGCTGCTTCAACTTTGTACTGTACGCTTGCTGACAGTACAAACACCCGCACTGCTAGTTCAATTCACTTCACTCGCGAAACGTGGCCTAAAATCTAATCGAACACTACAGTAATCTCACGAGTGAAGGCCTCGAAGGACCAAAACATGTACGGTATGCTAAATAAGAGATAAACGTGATAAGAAAACATAAGTGTATTTAATAGAAGAAAGCTTAATAGACGTTCGCTGTGCGTCGATGTTAGCATAAAACTATAACTATCGAAATGTACGGGTTTGCTCGTACACTATACTTTATATATATAGCATAGTTAATCATTAATACAAACTTACCTGCAGTGACATATTTATTCATATGCATGTTATCAAAATATTGCGATAACGTGTTTAATGTCCGTGTGGTGACGGATTAACAACCCCCTATCCATTCAGTGGGTGTCAGATTAGTAGAAATGAAAAGAGAAGGAAAACTTGTTTTTTTTTTTTAAAAAGACAACGCCCGCATTAGGAATAAATCCTGTGCAAACATACATGAAACGGACACAAAGAACACCCAGACTCAGAACAAAAATTTGTGGATCACACAAAGTGTCGTCCCATGTGGGGTTTGAACCCACAACACTCGGCGTAGTAGGAAGCGGCGTGGCGACCGCTTAAACCACTACGCGATCCGTGCAGTCAGTCTTGAAACATAACCTATACCAACCCGCCGCGAGGGCCAACGGGCCAGCGAAGTATTGTAAAGCCAAAACCTCATTTCCAAGGAGTGGCCTATGTCCAGCAGTGGACTAGTAAAGGCTGTTGATGATTTGTCGTTTATTGTTTTAATTTGTGCTGTTTCAGTACGAGGTTACCCTATGACAACACATACGTACAGAAATCACCAACAAAGACGAATGTGACACCCGGACTATCAGTCGCACCGACTTTCAAACCAACTCACTATTCCAACAGAACTAACGTACGCAACTCGTGCAGCGATCGTGACAGGGCATATATACGTAAAAGGTATGAATTTCTTCATCATCTTCAAATTGTACTGCCCTTTACCTTTTCCCTCCTATTTTTTATCGTAGAAGAGCCATGCTTCACAAAAATAGACCGGCTAGTATCAGGGCCTCACAGAAAACCGGGGAAAACTGTGGCGTCTCTAATACCGTAGAGCATGAGTCATATTTTTTTTTTTTTAAGACAACTCCCGCATTAGTAATATATCCTGTGTCGCGGGGGACTTTACAAACATACATGAAACGGACACAAAAAACACCCAGACTCAGAACAACAATTTGTGGATCGCACAAAGTGTCGTCCCATGAGGGGTTTGAACCCACAACTCTCGCAGTAGGAAGCGGCGTGGCGACCGCTTAAACCACTACGCCATCCGTGCAGTCATTGTTATTTGACGTGCCTGTTGGTCTAGTGTTTGGTGACTCTGACTGCTAAGCCAGTGGTTGTGGGTTCGACTCCCACCCAGCACAAATGTTGTGTGATGTGCACGGTCATTTGGTCTGTGTCTGGGTGTAATCTATCTATATTATGTATGTATTTAGAAATATATAAGTATGTTTATCAGTAGTCTAGTTAGATAGCAGAGGCTCTGCCTAGTTTGGGATCAGAGCCGTGTGTGAGATGTGTAAAGATATCATATTACGAGTATAAAGGTTGCCATATTTCTTTTTTCAGATTTCAAGAGTTGTTCCTGTATCTTTCTTCTTCGAACCTGACCAACGATTACTCCTCTCTGTACCAAGTCAGTAACTTTGCAACATTTTATCCTCCTTTACGAAATAATATATTATGCACATAATTTTAAGGGTTCAGAGACGGGCGTAAGGTACATACCTCTATATAGAAATAAATATACTTTTCCCCGAGGCATACATTTGACTATATACAAAATATATATTTAAGAGAGCAAATCCGAGAGCGCGATAGCTGGTTATGTTTTTTACGGAACTTAAAAGATAAACATACATACATCGTCTTAGGTCTACAAAATCCCCAAATTTATTATTTATAATAGACTCAAAAACATTTGTGCAAAAAGCAGAATCTAACAACTTACCTATATCATTTGTTAAAATTACTTCAGCCATTTATTGGTCACGAAGGAACATAGGTCAGGAAAAGAAACAACATTTTCTCATATAAATATCGTACACACACATAATATGACTCGTGAAAGGTGTTGTGTTTATGACCTTAACGATTCTTAATACTTGCTGACGATGTTATTTCCTTTTCCAGATTCTACTCCCGACCAAGATAGATTTGGTGATAAGAGAAACACCCACATGGAAGTACTATCTGTCAGCACCGAAATTTATTTTCTGTGTCCTAACTGTACTTAAAATATTTCTCTGTTGTAAGTAGATAATAATTTAAGTTTCCTACCTACCTAATTCTCTTGGCTATTTCTAGTGAGGGTGGTATCCACCATCAATCTCTTCAAATACCGGGCTATGCGTGAAACGGAACAAAGGACTGCTATCTTGTTATGGAGAGTAGATTTAAGGAGCACTATTTTGTACGTAAGCTAAAAAATGTCCAGCAAAAAGCAGCCAATAATAATTCTAGAACCTACCAGAACAGCGCTAGTGTAGCAAGTTTGCTAAATTAAAATACTCTAATATATTTTTTATACTAATTATTAATACATTCAAAAAAGAAGTTTGCCTATTTAATTGTTTTGAAAAGTGTGCCATAACAGGGCGGTTTTTTTTTACCTTGTTTAATTTACTGTCACACTCGAACAACTTGGTACCGTGGTGGCAAAATGATCAAATCAAATCAAATCATTTTTTATTTGCATAAAAAAGGTATAAAGGTGGTAGAAGTTACATCATATAATACATGGGTGCGCTGTAATATAACCTCTTAAAGGTGTGCAAATATTTAGACATAGATGGTTAAAAGATTATTATTCAGGCATGCAACATGACAAATACAATTTGAAGAATTTTTATTCATAATATAAATTTATCGCAATTTTAATATCAGATAATTAATAATGTCAAGAGTATTATAAATGTTATAAAGTCACATCAATACAATAAAAAAAAAAACAATAATAATAATCAAATAGTCAAAACAATAAAAAAAAATCACATTGAACATGACGTTCAAAATAAAGTAGATAACAATTAAATTAATTTGATTTAGAATTTGTCTTGCAGAAAATCACAGTTACATTATAATATAATTTTTGGCTCAGATTTTTTTTAAATGTCTGTTTAAAGATGTTCACATTTGACTCCTTTACTTAGGTAATTTATTATAATAATTTATTTTTGGAGCCATGGCGAAAACACTATTATGCATTAGAGCAGTGTTTGATTTACACGGGCATAGCCGGGATTTATCTCTTTGCATTCGGCCATACGCGTCAGAAGACAAAACAAATAAATTTAGATTTAGTTTGGCAAACATAGCTACTTCGAGTATATAAATGGATGACAGTGTTAAAATATAATATTTTTTTAAATAAGGCACACAGATGTCGGTTGATTTTAGAGAGAACATTGCCCCCACACAACGTTTCTGTACCTTGAATATTTTATGTTTATGTACAGAGTTGATGTCATGATTTGACGTCTTTTGACGGACGCTTTTTTATACACAGAGATGGTTCTCCTTAACTGCACCAAATATGTACCTACATATATGTATATTATGTCTCTAATATAAAAGCCGTACCGCAACGGCTAGAACAAAGAAAATCATGTTTAGTGTTAATAGCCGACAGAGGTGTCAGAGAATGTTTACTTACCTAACTAGTTTTTTTTTTTTACATTTCAGATCAACGTCTTCAAAGATCAGAAAACTTCTCCAGAAGATGGTTTTCAGAAGAGCAAAAAGGACCGAGTGTTTTAGGTACAGATCGTAAGTATTTAACGAAAATTATGGAATATAACAATATGTAAATTGTATAACTTCATTTCTGAACAATTACAGCAAGTCATTTTATATCGATAGCATTTACTCGTTGGAATTCACACTTTTAAACTAAAAATATAAAATAAAGTATTTTCGTCACCACGTTCTCTTATATATTCGAGATCACGTACCTACTATGTATAACATATCATTGAATTGCCTGACGTTACGATCGAATCTGTGATGGCTTTTATTCCGTCCGTCCGTCGTTTATAATTGTCCGTCATTGAACTCGAAAAAAATAGTGTTAAAATGCTAAGATACAATAAAAGGTTCTGTTAGCAACAAACGATTCTTATCTTTTTACAAGTTTACACAAGTTACAAAAATAAGTTTAAAATAAACATTCTTTACAAATCTTCTGCGCGCTTAATGAGATTGAGATGATCTCACGCTGTAAATTCAATAGTATATAAATCCTACTGTTTCATGAAATACTCACCTTAATATTTTTTTCTAACAATACTACTAATACTGCTACTAAGCCAGCCACTAGCAAAAACTATTTTACCAGAATATATAAAAAGTACATATTTGACATTAATATTTTTCTGATTTCAGCGCAAGAAACTACCGAAACTAGCCCTCTACCTGCCCCTACATCTACATCACCCATCATAATTGATCCAGCATTCTCTACCCAGAATAATTCCGATTCCTATCTACCACCGTCATACTCTCCGTGTGCTGTCAACAATATTGGAGCTGGCAATAAAATCGTTGACAATACCTCCGAGGACCTACTTCCTCCGTATTCCACATGCGTCGATGCATTGAACGATGCAGATGGCATACCGAAGATACATAAAGGAGAGAGTGTGGAAAAACAGTCATGTACTGAAACAGATATAAATCTCAACAACTCACATACTACGGATAGAAATAACGTTGAACAATTAGATAGCACCGTGAGGCCTGTAAATAGAACTGTTAAAACAGCGATAGACGTTGATGAGTTTAATAACCTAATTGAAAATAATAATGAAACAGATGAAGGAAGTCATCAAGTAGTGAATAAATACGAGGACATTTCATTGCTTCCGTCTTCACTTAGAATTTTTTACGCGAATCTATGCAGTATTCGCAAGGATGGTAAGTTTGACGAACTAAAATGCATTCTAAAAGCCATTAAAATGACTACTCATCTGTTGATAATTACTGAGACGTGGAATAAGTCAGAGACGGATGCGAAACTTTATCAATTGCCGAATTATAATCATATCTACAGCTATAGACAGAATCGTAGAGGCGGAGGGGTCTCCATTTATGTGCACGATGGTATTAAATATGACATAAAAGAAGAATTATGTGAGAACGGAAACCACTACTTATGGCTGTACATAAATGATCTATCATTACATATTGGAGCGATTTATAAACCCGGAAGCACCAACATAGATAATTTTCTAAAAATATATTCGCTCCAATTAGAGCGACGATCGATTGAGCGATCATTATCCTTTGGAGACTTCAATTTAGACCTTCTTAAAAAAACAAGTGAGGTTTTAAAATACCAATGTAAAATTCAAGAAGCCGGCTATATAATTGTAAACAAAATCGACAAGATATACATCACACGCGAAAAGGCAACAACAAGGACTTTATTGGACCATGTTAATACTAACATAAAAAGTAATTTCAAAAGCCTCTCGATAATCGATTCAAGTCTATCTGATCATAAACAAATTTATCTCCAAGTGGGAGGACTGGAACCTCAACTTAATAACAAAAAACAGTATAAGGCACTGGACTTTGAGAAATTGTACAACAATACACTAGAAGCAAAATACAACAGTGAAGGCCATGACTACCACCACCTTGAAACATTTATTTCACAACAGATAGAGAAGAGTAAAATTCTAAACCCACCCCAAAAAGATTGGATTCATCAGGAAATTATAAACTCAATCAATGAACGAAACAAATTAGGGCAACAAACTAAGTTGGACCCAGAGAACGTCGATATACGAAAGAAATTCCAAGAAGAAAAGGAAAAAGTTGAGATGTTAATAAACAAACATAAAAAGATCTATTACTACAATCTATTTAGTGACTGCAGAAATCAACCAAATAAAATGTGGGACCTGATTAATAACCTAGGATTAAATACATTAGAGGACAGTGTTGCTCCTCCCAACCTGATGTCAAACCCAGGACTCCTAACAGAAAGTAACTCAACATGCGACTTGTTTAATTCTTTTTTCTCATCTATAGGGGCAGACTTAGTAGAAAAAATACCCGACACATATCACAATAACACAGGTAACACTTTAATGTATGATAACAAGTACACACATGATATAACACTACACGAACTTACGCCCTGTACTACGAAGGAAATAAAAGACATCATTGACGACCTCGATAGTAACACAAGCACTGGACTAGATGGGATCAGTATTGAAGCAATAAAATGTCTAAAAAATATAATTGCCGAGCCACTAACTAACTGTATAAATGACTGCTTACTGCATGGTATCTTCCCTGATACGCTCAAGGTGGCTAGGGTCAGTCCTGTTTACAAATCTGGAAGTAGAACTGACCCAAGCAACTATAGACCAGTGTCGGTTCTACCCGTAATGTCCAAGATATTCGAAAGTGTACTATACAGGCGCCTAATCAACTACTTAACAGACAAAAAATTCCTAATAGATGAACAATATGGCTTTCGCCCTAAATCAAGTACTCTCACAGCCGCGACGGATCTAGTTACCAAAATTAAAATCCATGTAGACGAAAAGGGCTATGCTTTAGGAATATTTATCGATCTAAAAAAAGCATTCGCCACCGTAAGTCACAAAAAACTGCTACAAAAGCTAGACAACATAGGCATTATCGGCACAGCGCATAAAATGTTCGGATCGTTTATGGAAAATAGACGTCAAATTGTTAAAATGGGCGATTCTTACTGTAGCTCCGTCCAAAACGTGAGTTACGGTTGCCCTCAGGATTCCATCATAAGTCCGTTACTTTTTTTAATTTATGTTAACAATATTAACAAAATAGGATTAACAGGCCACCTACAAATGTATGCAGACGACATTGTTCTCTTTTATTTCGACAATTTAATGGAAAACATCAAAAGAGACGCTCAACATGACCTCGATATACTTAACGAGTGGTTGAAATACAACCTTCTAACAATTGACACATCAAAGACCTCGTTCATAATTTTCAGAACTAAAAATAAAAAAATAAATAACGAAATAAATGACTCAAATAACGCTCTTAAAATAAATAACGACATAATAAAACAGTCAACTAACGTAAAATATCTTGGATTATGGTTAGACGAAAAACTAACTTGGAAAGTACACATTGACCATCTCAAAAAGAAACTAAAGTCATCATACACAGTATTATTGAAGGTGAAGAAGTATATTCCAAGCAAAACAAGAGTGCCTACTCTTATTTATAACTCGCTAATCAAATCACATTTAGAATATTTAATTGAGATATGGGGTACAGCAGCGGTAACTAACTTAAATTCACTTCAAGATTTCCAAAACAAAATAATCAGAAGTCTATTCCACCACACTCTCCACACTCTAACAAAAACCATATACAAAAAAAAAAAAATATTAAATATTAGTCAGCTTTATATTTACAATACGTGTATTCTTGTCAAAAACATTACCACTAACTCGATTCATACTGATATCAAACTAAAGGAAAAAACAATGTCACATAATCTAAGAAATAAGATCGAACTCGAACCTATCAGCGCACGCATTAATTACGGTAAAAAAAGTATATTGTTTGAGGGAGTACAGCTGTTCAACAAATTTTCGCCCGATATAAAAGAATGCGATGATATGAACACATTTAAAAAGAATCTTAAGGAAAATGTACGTAATTAAAAAAAAAACAGGATTTGTAATTGGAATAACGCGGACAATTCAGTTTAAAAACAGGACGCAGTAATAGAGTTGCAATAGTTAAATTAATATGTCGTGAAAATAGGTGAAATGAAATTCAAGTGACTTGACTGACTTGGCTTAAGTGCACGGATGGCGTAGTGGTTTAAGCGGTCGCCAAGCTGCTGACTACTACGCTGAGTGTTGTGGGTCCGACCCCCACATAATAATAATAATAATAATATCTATTAACGTCAAATGAGGTACAAATTTTATAATATAGTAGGATTTTCTTAGGTCAATTACACAGTATAGTCAGGCTCTGGTACCCACGGAAAAATTAAACTTGTGTTGTGGGTACCAGTCCCTCTCTCATCCAAAACTAACATTCATTAAGTATTTTCTATATTATAAAACATTTTCCCATATTCTGGCGTGTGAGCGTGCATATGTGTGTGAGCGTTCATATGTGTGTGTGTGTGTGTGTGTGTGTGTGTGTGTGTGTGTGTGTGTGTGTGTGTGTGTGTGTGTGTGCAACGACACTTTGTGTGATTCATGAGTGTGGGTGTTCTTAAAAAGTCATTAAAATAATCATATTTTTAATAAAACTATTTGAATAAAATTATACGCGTTGAAAACTATTTATTAAAATATAAAACAAACACTTTAGTTTGTAACAATTTTTAAACTAAGTTTGTAAAATTAGAATTTATTAGATACTAAGGTATCTAATAAATTCTAATTTTACAAACTTATTAATTTTTACTATACTTTTCAACCCCACCAATTGCGTTCAGTATCTGTGGTTGAGTTAACAAATAATCATAAAATTGGTCACACTTCATATCTGTGTTATAAATAGTTTTGATGATTGCAGCGACTGTTGTTGGCAGTAATCGATATCTTTCTTTTGAAAACTGTGAATTTATGAGGGAAAAGACTCTCTCGATATTACCGTTTGGTCCGGTTAATACATATTCAGCTACTTTCCATAGTTCTGCATACAGTTCCTCGGAAATGCATTCCTTGAAATATGTAAGCCACCGGCGTTTAAACTGTCTTTTTGAGTAGGATTAAAAAAGACCCCATTTTGAATTTGCGCTAAAAAACATCAAAATAACCCACTCGTCAAATAATTTAACAGTAACAGTATAATTTAACAGATTTTAATGCTGTGATCTTTTAAAATTACCAAGGATTTTTCAACGTTGTTCCAGTCTAGCAAATCAGGCCCTGTTAGATCAATCCAGTTGAAAACTTTTAGATTCTCAAATGGTTCAATCCACATTTTCAAATAGTCATTGATTTAATTATAAAAATCTTTAATTTTATTTGAAAACTCTTTAGTGTTTTTTCCTTCGTCATGCAACTTCTTTAAGACTGTTCTTACTCTTAGAGAACAAAAATTGTTTCTAATTATCTCCTCTAATAATGAAATAACTCTGCCCAAACTTTTCCTAATTTTGAAAACACTGTTTTCTTTTCTTTCCACTCTTTCAATGTTTGTGTGAATTATCGCCATTACTGAATAAACGAGGTACAGGTAACCCTCGGTATACGCATTGTTAAAAAACTGCGTAATGTACTGTGGAGGTTTATCTAAACTAAAAAAATATTATTTTAATGCCTCATGTATTTGTGTAATATAATGTATTTCAATTGCCGGAAAAAGGCTTAACCAGCGTGTCTTAGAGTGAGACTGAAGTTGAGTATACTCCATGCCAATATTATTACAAAACCAGTTTTTGTGTTCGAATAGTGTAGTGTAGTAGAAGTTAGTAGAAAAATGATTACACATTTTTACAATAGTTAATTCCACGGGCAGAATGTCACATCCATGGTGAACAGCACACATTATATTTGCCACCCTTTTCTCTACCACCAAACTTCGCATTGCAATTATCTCCTGAGAATGCTATACGTTTTCCTGTTATATTATATCTTTGGAGCTGATCATTTCCTAAACTTACTAAAGTTTTAGCAGTTTCATCGGGAACAGTTTCAATGTCTAATATCTTGGAATTTATGCCTTCACCAAGATAATCAAAATACTGAACCATCATCATCATCATCAACAGCCTTTAATGGTCCAATGCTGGACATGAGCCTCTCCTTATACTGAACCAATACAGGAATTAATTTAGTTGCATCATC